TCCTTATCACTGATTAGTAGTCTTTCTTTATGAATCTGTCGCAACAATAGCGCCATACAGTAAAGGTGTCGCAAATAAGAATTCACTTGAATTTATTGCATGTGTCAGAGCTAACAATGAAAACGTTGAAGGGTTGTCATTAATTTGATGCAGGTTTACGCTAATATGGCGGTATTTCTTTATGAATGTATTGCAACAATAGCACTATACAGTAAAAGTGCAACTTTGCCTGTCTAGGCAAAAATCCCAGCATCGGCCCTGATGGGCACAGCATGGTGAGAGGTGGTTGTACCTGCATGCTAGGGATGTTCAGATACCAAGTAAAATACTTGGTACAAGTACATGTACAGATACTTTTCAAGCTCCAAGACTAGACTAGAGAAAAATTCAGAAGTTAGGAGGCAGGTGTCATTTTTAAGCAGCATACGGAGCTCCTGGGATTTGTGCATCCCTGTTTTAATGTATGATTTGTTTTATATACATATATATATATATACATATATATTTATTAGGGATGCACCGATACCATTTTTCCAGACAAGTACTGATACTTGTCCAAGTAATACAGATACCAATTACTGATACCTTTTATTTTATTGTCATGTGACAGTTTTTCTAAAACAATACAGACTAATAATTTCAGGACAGTGTTGGGGCGGCAGGGCCCCGTCACAGCTGCAACTGCTGGAACCCTGCCAGTTCTTGGCAAAATGCCAAGTATCAGCACTGGTATCTGAACTGGTATCTGAACATCCCTACTGCATGCAGTACTTTTTTTCAGTGCACACCACTGCATTCCGCTGCAAGGTGGTGATGTGAACTGTGCCCATCTGTGAAAAGGCAAAAATGACAAATTGCCTTGTCTTCCGTTGGGGCTGCCCTGGAAAAAACGTTGCAGCCCCAACACATCTGGTATAAATTCACCTTTATTGAACCGCCCGCACAGTTCTTCTCCCATTCTTAAAGCTACATGCCATGGTCGTAACAGTCACTATATAAAATTAGAAGCGCATTACATGGTCGTAACAGTCACTATATAAAATTAGAAGCGCATTACATGGCCGTAACAGTCACTATATAAAATTAGAAGCGCATTAGGACACCAATCTACTATCAGGGTTAAAATGCAGCACAGCACAATTCAAAGATCAACAAGTACATTACTTTATTATAAGACGGGAAGTGGGATAAACACTAAATACAGGCTAAGCAGACAGATTAGAAGAGAGCTCACAGTGACTTTACCAACCGCTTAATGGACGCTCACTGATACATACATTCAGACATTAAACCCACTGTAAATGTAACAAAAAAAAGGACCAAATCCTGGTATGACTCAGTAAGAATTTTTCTATATTTTTATGAGATTCATAACAGACATTAGAGTTGTAAAAAGTGTCTAGTTACATTTCAAAGCCACCCAAAAATGTACTCAATTCCTACACCTAATATGTAGACTGTTTAATCCAGGGCTGGACAAATCCCAGGAGTCGGGTCGCCAATACTCCTTAACCACTTGCTGTCCGGAGCATTTTCTTACTATTTGTGCACACATGATAAAATATAACTTTTTTGGCTAAAAAACAGCTTCAGACCCCCAAACAATGATATATGTTCTGAAAGCAGAGGACCTGTAGAATAAAAAAATGCTAGTTGCAATTTTTTATGTCACACAGTTTTTGCGCAAATGTTTATCAAATCATTATTTTTAGGAAAAAATAAACTAAATTAAAATTTAGTGCACAGAAACATAATACCCAATTTTTTTTTCAATATGAAAGACGGGGTCATGCCGGGTAAATAGACACCAAACATGCCAAGCCTTAAAATTGCGTTCGCCTGTGAAGTCGCAAAAAAAGTCAATACCCAAAATTTCATAGAGGGAACATTTCAAACGCTTTTATGGCTCATCAGTTTAGTGCTAACAGTGATTGATGGCCCTACAATTATTGCTTCCACTCCGACGTTTGCGGCGATATGTAACATGTGTAGCGCAATTGTTGTTTTCGCACGTAGGCACACCGACGCGTGTTGGTGTGTGTATGTGCGTGCACGTGGGGGACTTAAAACATTTTTTGCATTTCTTGTAGGGCTGTGGAAATTAAAGATTTATTTCTAGATTAATCGTTAAACTTTTTGATCGATTAAAATTATTTTGATCGCCAATGAAAACACTCACTTTAAAGAACATTTAAACATTTAATTGCTGCTTACCATTTTAGAACAATCTTATTTAGCTTTCCCAGTATGTAATGTTAAAGCTGAACTCCAGGTATAAAGTATTATGTAAACTTACATTGGTCCAACTTGGCCCACTTTAAGTATACATATGACATACTTGATCAGCCCCTGTAAAGCACTCTATTAGGTGGAGCTTCTACAATGCTGGCTGCTATCTTCTGGATCCTGTATGGCGCTTTGTTGAGTGGCTTCCCCTGCTATGAAAACACAGGGGGTCTCTTGCTTGGCACAGTGGCCATTCAGAGAATGCCTAGTATTTATTTCAATGAATACAAAGCATGGCCTGGTTGAATGAGGAATGGCGACGTCATGATCCACCCCTCATCCAATCAGAACTAGTTGTTCTCTGAATAACTGCTGTGATGAGTGAGCAACCCCCTGTGTTTTCACAACAGAAGGGAAGTTGCACAGCTCAGCGCCAAACAGGACCCCGAAGATTGCTGTAAAGCACTGTACCCTGTTTCCCCGAAAATAAGACCTTCCTTCTGTTATTATTATTATTGTATTTTTCCCTTTAACCATTTCCCCAGCAAATAACATATAAGCACAAATACTAATTTATGAAGTGATCAGCTCTGAATACTAAGAATCCGACAGCTTGACATTCTCCCATCACTGGCGGATTAGATCTCTCGATGCCTAGATGTTATGTCCCTGTAATCATTAGATGGCTGTCACCTGACTGTTACACTTCTAATAATGCAATATTTGTCGTTGTATGATAAAGGATTCATCGTGGCACAACAGACCACATTCCCCGTGTATGCACAGATTGTACATTGTGTACGATTGGTGGATTATTTAAACAATTGAAGGAAAATTCCTGTCTGTGTTGTAGCATCAATCTAGTTTCAGCTACCGATTTTCTATGTTGCCGCCGGCAGCACAGACACTTCCTTTCTCCGGATTTCTAATCTGATCCTTCCACGGGTTTATCATCTGCTGCCATACAACCGTCATCTCCCATCTCTGGACACCCTGACCGCTCTAGCGGTTCCTCCTATCTCTAGGAGAGATCGAGCCCTGTGTACACCATGCATGCCAGCCTTATCACTGATGGAAAATGTCCAGAGCTTGTCACAAGGAGATTCCCAGCGCTGTGTGCTTCCTCTGGTGTTTGTTCTGCATCTATTTCTGCAGTTCACATTCCTATTATAGCTCTTCCTGTGAGCCCCCCCCCCCAACACACATACATAGACGCCACTGAATTCAGCCTCTGCCTGTATTTTTCCTATTAGTCCTCAGACAGGACAGCCATGCCCATCCGTATCACCCACCTCCAGCACGCCGCCGGCTCCTAGCAACCGATAACCTGTCCAAGCAAGTTCACGCCAATAATACTGCTGGTACCAGTCACCGCTTTCCCACGACGGCTCATATCCCACAATCCTTGTTCACAGATCTGTGCATCTCTCGGGTATTTCAGGAAAAAAAAAAGGGGGAAGAGCTTTTCCATTGGATTTGGATTGAACACGAGCGCTTCTGCCTTGCAGCACTGGGGTCCTGGGTTCAAATCCCAGCCAGGGCACTATCTGCATGTGCTTGCATGGGTTTCCTCCTACACTCCAAAGACATGCTGGTAGGTTGGTTGGCCCCTGTTTAAATTGGCCAGTGTATGTGCAAATGGGACCTTAGATTGTAAGCTCTTTGGAAGCAGGGACTGATGTGGACTGTGTAAATGAATGGTGCTCTAGAAATGTCTGTAATAAAAGGCATGAGCTCAGGATGTCACGTGTTGCCAGATGGAGCCCTGTGCAGGATGATTGTGTTACATAGAATGATGCTGCAAATGGGACATAAAGCAGAACAAACATTTCAATCTTCATACACTATACAATCTGATTGTACAATCTCTGTACAATTTCCTTTAGGGCTACCAACATTTTGTAATATGAAGACCAAACGAAGTATTACATCTGGCAGACCCATAGTTGTTGGTAGATCTAAAGGAGGTTGTACAATCAGAATGCATAGTGCATGGTCAGTCTTAAGTTTACCACACTTGTTACAATCTGATTGTACAATCTTCTTTAGATCGACCAATAAGCATGTGGAGCAAGGGCCTGTCTGATTGGATACAGATTGATTGGTCAGATTAGGTTTGTCCTTATATTGCATAGCTTTGGTAAATCTAAAGATGATCGTACAAAGATTGTATGGTCAGATTGCCACGTGTATGGTGATCCTGAGATCTACCAAAAACTATGTAGTGCAGCTGCCTGTCTGATTGCACACAAATTGATTGGGTAGGTAAGGTAATCCTCATTTTGCAATTTTGGTCAATCTAAAGTTGATTGTACGGTCTGATGGGGATGTCTATGGTAACCCTAAGACAGAGAAGTCGGGGGATTTTGGTGCTGGCGAAAATCCTTGGTGCACTATAAATGGGCAATAGAATAAGATAGAATAAAAGAACACCAAGGGATGAGAGCGTTTTACGAATTGCTAGAGACTACCAAGTGGTGTTACAGGTCGTGACGATCATCAGAAGAACTGTCATCGTACGAAGCGATTGGGTTTTTTTAAGTGAATCTCTGACCCAGCGATCAAGACCATTGCAACACATGACTTGGTGAGATGTTCGAGCACCCATGGTTCTCAGTGAGACATCTGCCCGTGTATGACCATCCTATGTCATCTGGCAGACTAAGCCTAGGAGGATGTGGTCGTAGGCTGGGCACATCGTTCATCAGTACACTGGCCATGCAATGGGATGTGATGGTGAAGCGAAGAGTAGCGGCAGCGCTGCATGCTCTTACCTGCCTCCCGGATGACTGGCAGCAGCGGATTACAAGGAGCAGCACATCGAGCCCAGGCAGATGTTCCAGCAGTTCAAGAAAGTCGCCTCCTGATTGGCTGGCCCGCACTTCCCCCATACAGCCGTCCACCCATTCCGTCCCCGCTCATAGCGTGCCTGTGAATGGCCCAGATGTGCGCGCATGTAAGGGCTCCTCTGATTGGCCCAATCACTGTGTTTGGAGGCGAGGTGGGCGGGTACCTGTGCACTTGCCGATTTTCGGGAGGCAGCGTTAGAAACGGTCCTATCATGTCAGTGATGGAGGAGCTCTGCCTCATGTTTCTGGTGTGCTGGTGACATGTCAGTGAAGGGAATTTACTAAGACTGGAGGAGACAGAATCTGGAGCAGCTGTGTATGACAACCAACCTTTCATTCTCAACGCTTAACTGAGCAAGCTGAAGAGAAAGCTGATTGGTTACTATTGGCAACTGCTCCAGATTCTGCCTGAAATTCCCATTGTGCACATAACACAATGTAAAATGTCACATTCGAAGTGAACAGTAATGCACAGCTACCATGTGTTCCCTTATTTGGAGGGACTGTCCTTGTTAAACAGCTTGAGCTATACAGACATTTCAACCAGGGGCGTCCCTAGCTTTTTTTTTCCACCTGTGGTGGCCAGTAGGGGGTTGTGGCGTCCCACCAAGCGGCTGGCAACCAGTGATGTCACTGGTTGCCAGGAGCTCGGCCGGACGCTAATAAGTGCATCCCAGGTTGCTAAGAGCTGGACGGGGAGATGTGTATGGTCCTTACAAATCTCCCCACCCAACTGTTAGCAACCAGGGATGCTCTGGCCGGAAAGGAGGCGGCAGGCACACTGCAAACATTGTGCCATGCCACTCTGCCTGGCGCGCCCCCCCCCTTCCCCAAGAGATGTCTTCTGAGGCAACAACATCAGGCTGCCTCATCATAGGGACCAATCACCAATTATGTTTGGTATAAATGGGGACATAGGGGGAGGATATGGGGTTGCTCTTTGCGTACATACTTATGCTTTTTATCTCATGAAGTTAAGAGCTATAGTAATGATGTTTATACACAAACAGTCACTAAGAACTAGGGATGCACCGATACTGATAGTAGTATCGGTGCCTATACAGAGTATTTGGGTGAGTACTCACTCAAATGCTACGATACTTACCCCCGATACCAACAGTGCTGCGAGGGAGCATGGAGTCGGCTTCCCAGCCAATCAGGAAGCCAGGCATCGGTGAACACTGGCTTCAAACGAACACGGGCTTCCCAGACAATGGGTAAGCCGAGCGGCAGGTCGTGACCCGTTGTCCAGCTTCCTGATAATCCGGGCCCACGGAAGCCGGTATCGGTATTCAGTATCAGCAAGTACCAAAAAAAGAAATATCGGCACTCGATACCGAAAATCCGGTATCGGTGCATCCTTCATGCTCCTTGGCTACAATGTAGCAATTTCCTCAGTGATTTTCAGAAATCTTTTTATTTTTGTTCCTTACTGTACAATTAGGTGAAGGTCATTCTTTTCAGCTGGGGTGCGTTGCGGTAACGTGCTGTGTTAGGCAGCCTATTCCAAATGAATGAGCTCACAATGCACCTCAATATCCCAGAAAACTGTTGTGACGCCAAGGGGTACTATGATATGAAAGGGGGGGCTCTGATATGAAGGGGGTTTCAGATGTGACGGGGGGGGGGG